TTCAGAGAAATAATTAAAAAAAAATTCTACCTTTTCCAACAGTTACATCCCCGCCCCCAATTAATTCATCCGCTAACATGGAGTATTGTAGCTACAGATTATTTGCCTGCCGGCGTTAGAAGATTCTCGATTTAAAGCTGCTTGATTCTCTTCGTGGATCATCGGATTCAAAACCCGGTAGAGAGAAACTCTGCAACTCAATTAAGCTACGCCCAGGTAACTTAGATACATGCAATTCCTTCATCAATTTCCTAACCTTCTCAGATTCATCAAACTTTCCCGCGGCGGCGTAGATGTCAGACAACAGAACGTAATTTCCAGCTTTCTCCGGCTCTAGTCTGATTAGTTTCCCCGCAATTCGTTCACCCATCTCAAAATTATTATGAAGTCGACACCCTGTAACAATGGCTCCGAGAACGGCAGCATCGGGTTCAATCGGCATTTCTTCTATAAACCTCTCTGCCTCTTCCAGAAGCCCTGATCTTGCCAAACAATCAGCCATGGCTGCATAATGTTTCAATTCTGGTGTTACCCCATGATCATGCATTGTTTTGAAACATGAACGTGCTAACTCTACCAGTCCGCCATGGGCGCATGCTGATAAAATGCCTAGAAATGTCACGGCATTGGGGTTAATCCCTCTCACAAGCATTTCATCGAACAGTTTCAGAGCAATGCTAAAGTTGCCACTCAATCCATATCCCAGGATGAGAGAGCTCCAAGAAATTACATCTTTCTCATTCATTGTATTAAAAACTCTATGAGCGTAGCTTAATGTCGAACATTTCACATACATATCAACAATGGCGTTCCCTAAATTCAAACCCAATTTTGAATCCCTCCTCAAACACCACCCATGAATACTCTTCCCCTGCTTAAGCCACCCCGATTGGCCACACACCAAAAGTAAGCTCACCGCCACTACCCAATCAAGCTCAACAACTGAATCGACCATCTGCCTAAACACCTCCAAACCTAACGTTGGTTCCCCATGTTGTGCATAGCCAGCCAACATAGCCGTCCACAGGACATAATCTCTTTTAGGCATTTGGTCGAACAGCACCCTGGCATCACGTAACTTCCCGAAAGTAACATACATGAAAACCAAAGCTGAAGCGACGAACAAACTCGCTTCCCAGCCCATTTTCACGCACAACCCATGTACGGAAACGCTCAGTGTCAAGGCTCCCGAACCCGCACAGGCTCTTAAAACAAGGGGAAGCGTGTGGTCATCTGGTCTGACGCCGGAATTACCCCACATCTGACGAAACAAATATATTGCTTTCTCAGGGAAATTCGAACGGGAGAACTCGCCGATTATGATGTTCCAAGAATAGATATTCCTTTCCGGCATATGAAAGAAGACGGAAAGAGAGTCTGGCGTGAGTCTGTGGTGCCGGGAATACATCAAAACGAGCTTGGAACTGAGGATCACATTGTTGTACAGAGACGTCGTGAGCAACCGAGCATGGAGGTGGCGGAGATGCCTTGGGTTCGGAGAAGAGTGGAGAAGAGAAAAATAGTAGGAGATGAGGCTCGACTCGGTTGAAATCGGTGGACAACTCAGCGTTGAGTAGAATTTGCCGGCAAGACTCGTTGTTGCTCTGGCATTCATGAAGCTCTGGCATTCATGAAGCTCTTTACTCGCCGCAGAAGAGAGATCCTGAAATGCTCGTTTTAATTTTGGATATTAATTCTCCCTTTCTTTTTTCTTTTTTTATAAGATATTAATTTTCTGCACATGAAAATTTGTGATTCAATAGATATATGCCTTGTAATAAATATAACATATTAAAAAAAAGATATTGATTTTTTTAATATTTTATTAAGATTTTAAATGTAAAAAATGTATTATGCACTTTTAATGGCAAAAATACTATCACATTACTTAACACTAATTATTGAATGAGAATTAGACTCTTGATATTGATACATATATTTGGTACACTTGATGTATATTTTTTTATTTAGTAATCAGGTGTCTTTAATTTAGTTTATACACATTCTAAAATTAATTTCTCTCCGATATTAAAAGCAGGTCATTTATGTTATGTATAGAAAATTCATGAAAATAAAATCAAATATGGCCAATAAAATAAGAATAAATTTTCTTACCAACTTTGTCATAATCCTTTTCATTGGTCAATTGATATCTAATAATCCTACTTTTACTATATGATTAAATTGAGGAAAATGTACTAAAAAGGAGGAGAAGAAAAGATTTTTTTAATAATTAAATTAAAAATGTAGTAATTTAATGGTTAAACTCTTAATCCCTTAATTATTATATGAAACTCTTAAATTGACCTTTAAATTAAAAAAAATTTTAATTCAATTATTAAAGTTTTTTTTATCTTGATTGCACAATTAGAAGTAATCATATCCATCAATTATCTTACCCATTCGTATGTCATACTATTTGTATTTGAATTTAAGATTTTTTACTTTCAACAAAACGAGATAATCAATGAACTACTTAAGTTGTTGATGATTATTAAAGTTTTTAAATTTTACTTTTAAATTAATCCTTTCACTTAAAAACAACTAACTTGTTTTATTAGTAATATGACATGATTATCAAGTAATAAACTTCTACCATTAAATAATAGATATAATAATTATTTTTTAATGAAAAAACTAACTTAAAACAAAATTTTAAAATTTTAAAAATCAAATAAAAAAATTTTTAATTCAAAAATTAATTTAAAAATCCATATCATAATTAAGAGACCCGGGGGTTTAAGGTAATTTAATTAATTAAGAAAACTTTATCGTCCCAACATCCTATTATAGATGGACGTACAGGCAGTAGAACCTTCTATCCATATTAAAACATTTAGCCCCTTAGCTTAGGAACTAAGGAAGGAAGAGATCATTAGGGATGGTAGACTGCTACCACTTCTATTTTCTTTACGCTGCACCTTCGATCCATACCAATCAAAAGTACCAGACGAAGGTTTTCAAACAAATGATTGGATACACGTTGGCAGATAGGAAGCAAAGACTTGTAGCCGATTAACAGTGCCCCCGCAAAAAAAAAATTCTATTGTGAGTTTACTGGGTGTCTATAAAAGCAGATAGCGTTTTCTCGGCAAACCATAAAGCAGAGGAAATCGCGTCGGATTCTGCATTCAGAAAGAGAAAATGGCAACGCTGGGAGGTATCAAGGAGGTTGAAGGAAGTGCAAACAGTTTGGAGATCGACAGCCTTGCTCGATTTGCAGTTGATGAACACAACAAGAAGGAGGTCCGCTTTTAATTTTTATTTTTATTTTTTGTTGATTTTTGTCTCGTTCGGTTTCTCTTTGATTGCCTGGACAATATGTTATTGAAAGGAATCCTGCAATTCTTGATTTTCTGCTTTTCATGTTTTTTACTTGGATTGTGGGCTTTTGTTTTAAACAGACGCCGTTCACCGGAGATTTTTGTTGTTAATTGGTAGATTATGTTCCTTTTATTCTGAATTAATCTGGGTTATGAATTGAACATTGATCCTTGAGTAGCAAGGCATTTTTCGAAATTAAAATTACTGGGTCGTTGAGAAAATGGTCATGGATTACCGAAAATCGTTCAAAGGTTGTGTCTTTGTATCAGTGTGCAAATGGGAATTTTATAAATTGACATAAGTGTGCTCATGGAAGGTGATTGTTTGTATGTAGAATTCTCTGCTGGAGTTCAAGAGGGTGGTGAATACAAAGACGCAGGTGGTTTCTGGTACCATGTATTATATAACCTTGGAGGCAGCGGATGGAAATCAGAAGAAAGTCTATGAAGCCAAGGTGTGGGAGAAGCCATGGATGAATTTCAAGGAGGTGCAAGAGTTCAAGCTTGTTGGTGATGCCCCTGCAGATTCCAGCACTTAGATAGGTGATTGTTATTAGGTGATTGTTATAGCATTCTGTCTCTTTTTTGCCCATGTTAAAGCATTCTAGTGTTGCTAATTCTCCATTGGTAATGAATGTCTCCTAGTAATATTCCACTGTATCACTCGTTAAGAAGAAGAAATAATACTATTGAAACTAGCATGCCCCTTAGGTGAATGGCTGAATTCATTGTTTCTTTTTATGTTGTCAAAAGTTTTTGTATCGTGATCAGGTTATTTTATGGGCGCAATTGTCAATATAACTAATTATCTTCCTTCTGTAAATTCAGGTGACCGGAGGATCATATGTGGCTTATTGCACCTCAAGTTTGAAGCTGGAGGTTAAAGAACTTATCAGATCACTAATGTCTTGAGTTATGCCTGAAATAAATTTAACTATATATACTTGTAGTAGATTTGAGTTTTTAATCCATGTGACAATTGTGTTCTGCCCTCATAATTTCGTATAGATGATGCATACCAATGATAAATATGAACTAGTATGAAATATGTTATGAAATATGTTGCTTATGTTCAGCCACTCTAATGACGTTTGAGATTATCAACAAAACCTAAAAGAACACACATAAATTTTACTGAGTTTCTTTTGTGCCCCACAAGAGGTACTGAAATTGTCAAGTTAATTTTAAATTTTGAACAATATAATAGAGTATTGTCTGGCTCTTTCAAGACTGGACAAACCTGGCACTGGTTAAGGAGTAAACAAGACAGGAAGATATGGTATATCTGGTCTGGTTCTCTCAGGCCATCCCCAACATAGTTTCACAAGTTGGCTAGTTATTCTTAATAGATTGAGCACAAGGGCTAGGCAAAGGAAATGGAGTCCTGCTATCCCTGGTACATGCATCCTATGCAACAACAATTCTGAGACAAATAGGCACCTATTTTTTAAATGTAGTTAGGTGAGAAGAGCATGGCAGCAGCTCAGCAGTATGCTTGGCATCCCTTTCGCTGATTCTTGGAGTGGCTTGCTAAGTTGGAGGGGGAAGAAGGTTAGAAGGAAATCCTTGTACTGTGTTTTGATAAAGTTAGCATGGAATGCTACAGCTTACCATATTTGGATGGAGAGAAACAAGAGAATTCACTAGAAAATTTTTTAGGATTTCCAGTGCTATTATTCATGAAATTCAATCTAAAGTCAGGTGCAAGATCCTAGGTTTTGCTAGGCCAAGATCCTCCCATTTGCCTATGGCCATTGCATGTCAATGGGGGCTTGAAACAGTGATGCAAGACTAATTTTTGTAAAGTAATTATACATTTTTGTATATTTTGACACTGTTTTGTTTATACTCATTCTTTTGTAGCAGCTTGTTGCTTTATTGTATTGTACTCTCCATTACTTTGGATAAATAAAATTCACATTTTATCTAATATATATATTTAGGAATTAATGCTTATTTGCTTTACCTCATAAAAATTAAGAGAACAATTATTTTAAAATTACGTAATTTTGATAAAATACTACAAGGAATAATAAAAAACACTTTAATTCATGTTTTAAAAATAAAAGCATTTTAATATTCTTCAATAGGGATTTACTAAATCGATATAGTTTTAAGATAATTTTTTTTATAACCTTTAAGAAATAAAGTAGATAAATACAATTCCCATATATTTATTTATTTATATATATAATAGAGTATCTTCTATAATTTTGTGTTGGGAAAGTTGAACCTGGATTTCTCCAGGGTTAATAATTGTTTGATTAAAAGAAGGGCAAAGAGAAGAAGTGAGTAGGATATTTCATCTTTGTTCTGATGACACTTAATATGGCATCTGATTCAAGTTCATGGTACATTCCTAAGACCACACAGGTACAAATATACGATATGGGGAAACAAGTTTGAACAACGAGTTCATTCAAAAATAAAACCATTCTGTTCTTGACAATGAAAAACATTTGAAGATTAGATTATCAAAATAAGAAGATGGCAACTCCTTTAAGTTAATCAGCATCCATTTCTTCCAGTGCAGCCCTAGCAGCAGCCTTGGCCTCCTCTAGCAGTGCCTCAGGAACCTGAAAAAAGGTTGCCAAAGTTTAAAATGTGCACATCACGGCAAAACTTCAGCCCAAACTAGCCGTTTTGACAACCTATGTGGGTTATGAGAGAAATGGAAGGAAAAAGGTTGAAACATACGAATGCCAAATGATTCCCTATATTACTTGACTTCCCAAGCCCATACTCCATCTTGCATCTCACATTCTCACTACCAAAGAATGCATATCATTTCATGAAATCTTCGAGGCAAGAAAATATTTGTTTACCAGAAAGAGCTTAGCCTAGTTGGTATAAACTAACCATTAAACCTTGATCTCAGGTCACTGACAATCTCAGGGATTAAGAAAAATAAGATTCCTGAAAATGTTTTATGGATCTTAACTTCCAAGAATCTACAGAGTTTCCATGATTTACTGCATGTTAATGTATAGTTAAAACATCTTAACAGGAAAAGATGTGAATAAAGAGGAGTCACTAACTTGACAATGGAGAGTTACCAGCAAAGGAAAACTCAGCTCATCTAATCTCAATACTGACACTCTTGATAAAGAAAAGGCAAGGGAGAAAAGCAACATTCTTCACCAAATCAAAAACTAACCCAATCTTTTTAGTCTTCTACTCATCTATTTAAAGTGAATAGCTGACAAGAATCCTTATCCAAAAATGTACGAGATATATTACCTTTTCATGTTGTTGCTTTGACTCATCACAGACCCAACTCATCTCCAATTCAAATGCCTTGTCCTTAGCTTCATCATGTACCTTATAGATGCTGAGAAAAAATAGTGTGCATAATGAATCTAAAATCACTTGAAAGCCATATACTCTTGAAAAGAGGAAATAGTTCTAAGAGATGGAAGCAGAATCCAAGATAAGCATAAAATGGAAAAGAATTATTGAGACAGAGAATACTCACATTTTGGCTACCTCAATAACCCCTTCCCTGCATGTCATTTCAGAGAGCTTCAACTTTTCAATTTCCCTGTTCACAAGTCCATTCAACCATTATGAGTTTGTTACTTAACATCAGTGAAAAATGGGCATATAAGAGGAACTAACTCAGCACATTACGGTCACAGCCCATTGCCTAAACCTACCTGGCTAATCCAGGGGCTCCAGTTATGGCCACTAGGAATATTGTTAAGGCCACCAATATTCTACTTTTGTTTTGTTAAATTACATCTTTGCCCAGTCAACTAAATTAAAAAAAAAAACAAATAAAAGTGATCAGAGCAAGGTTGGAATATTGGTAGAATATTGGTGGCCTTAACAATATCTCTAGTGGCCATAACTGGAGCACTAATCCAGCCCTCTACCATTTCACATCCAATCCTTTTCTTTCTTTAATAAATTTCAAATTTCAAAAGCAGATTTTAAAGATCTTGATATCTATCATTAATATTTATTTTTTGAAAGAAAAATACATAAATTTACCTGCTTGAGGAAATGTACAGATGTAATAGAAGCATCTAATTTGACTAAGTAGGTTCCAGCATGGGTTTTGAAGGACTGTCATTATCTTTTTATCAAATGGTTAACTGTAAATCTCACATTAAGTTAAGAAATTTTGTAACTTACGTTTTAGCGGCTTGCTTTCCCTTCCCAATTGCAGCACCAAAGTATCTCTTTATCAAAGTAACAAGAAACATTGTAAGCCAGAAGGAATCCAAATAAATAATAAAAAAAAAAAAATTTAAGCACATTGATCTATTTATTTGAATCGGAGAATATATACAATACCCAAATAAACAGTTCACAAAGAAAAGCAAATCCTCAAATGGGACAAATCAACATACATATGAGATGCCTGATGGTTCAACCATATATAATTGAGGTCCCTCTCTGTCATAACCTCCAAGAATTACTCCACACCCAAAGGGCCTGCAGCAACAAGTATTTTCTATGAGTTTATGTCTAAATTAAACCGAAAAAAGATGAAAGATATAAAGGAAAATATGCAAGTACTTCCATACCTGAGCCACCAGTAGAGTGTGCATAAGTGCACATAACTTGCTACACGTTCAGCAAGTTCCTTTACAGGAATAGGTTCACCATAGACACTACATCATGAACAAAGCCTAAATGGATAAGAAATTCGAAATATAGTAATAGGAAGAAAATCATAAACATATAAATGGATACAGGCTAAACATTGGGCTGGGGCCATTGATATTCAAGACAATATGATAAAGAATGAGCCCCAAAATAAGAATATCCTGTGCAAAAAAAACATAACAAACCATCTTCCCTTCTATACCAGGCTAAGTTTAATATTACCAATAATGAATTAATGCTGAATTTTTAATGAAAAATGGCACAGTAGCTTCCCAAATACCTTTCATACTTAGTTGCTTCAGATTTTGCTCGTGCAACAATTTGCCTCCCATCGGCAGCTAATCCCGCAACAGCCTGATTGAGTAAGAGAGGGAGAGTGTTTTTTAAATTCAAAACTACAAATAACCTGGTGTCCTAGCAGAAGATGAAGTTCAGCTCCTGAATACAGCTTCAAAGAAGAAAATAAATCTTTTCCCAACTACAGAGGTATTATTGATCTAATTTCCATCACACAGATATCCTTAATCCCCTCTCAACCGACTTTGCATTTTCAGGAAAATAATAATAATAATAATAATAAAAGCATAAAAATGAACACGAGTACCCTGCAATTTTATCATTTTGAGAGAAAAATGAGGCAGAACAGCCCAAATAACACTAAATTTCAAATCTAAAGAGTGAATAGAGTAAAGAGGGAAAAAATGAAATACCATGCCAGAGTGACGATGAACGGAGTGGATTCTTCGATTGGAACCAGGCAACATCATCTTGGATGCAATGAGCTTCTCCACGCCCTAAAACCCCCAAATCCACAAATTACATTCACATACAAATCCATATGCAGGATGCAATAGATACCAAAATCAGGAACAGTAAAGCATACCATAACGATCCCATCTTTGCACTTGATACCAATCACAGTTCTGAAATAACAGAAAAAAAAAATAAAATAAAATCCTGAGGAAACTGGAATCACAAGCTAAATGCACAACAAAACAGAAATAGAACAGACCCGCTGTTATCGACGGCCTTGGCGGCGTACTCGATCTGGAAAACTCGGCCGTCCGGAGAGAAGGTGGTGACGGAGAGATCGTAACCTGTTCCGATGCTGCTCATCTTGGCTCTTCCACTTTCTGCTTCTTCGAACTGAGGTCTCCGCTACTCCTACCTCGCTTTATTCTGTCGAGTGCTCCGACTTTCTTCCGGCTCAAGACTTCGGTGACATATTTGGACCGGGTTGGGCCATGAGGCGAGGTTTTTTTTTTTTTTTTGTGGATTGGGCCTATTCATTCTATTTCGAAAAAGGCCTCCTGCGCTCCCACGGGCCACGGGCCACGGGCCACGGACTGCAGGAGAGGTTAAAAAATGTTTGTAGGCATAATTGCGCAATTAGTCCTCAACATTTGATGTTTTTGTGGCCAAAGTCCTCAACCTTTGATTGATTTTTCAATTCCCCCTCACTCTTTTTCCCCAAAGGGACCAAAAATATCTTCCATCTCAAAAGTATTAATAGATTTAACTGTTGAGAAACCAAATATTGCATCATTATCGTGTATATTTTGATTAATTTGATT